TATATATACAGTGGGTACGGAAAGTATTCAGACCCCCTTACATTTTTCACTCTTTGTTATATTGCAGCCGTTTGCTAAAATCATTTAAGTTAAATTTTTTTCCTCATTAATGTACACACAGCACCCCATATTGACAGAAAAACACAGAATTGTTGACATTTTTGCAGATTTATTAAAAAAGAAAAACTGAAATATCACATGGCAAATTACAAGTCCATATACTGTAAACCTAATATAGAAAGTTTGTCACAACTTTTGCCTGACTGACAGTTTACCTTCTTCACACACTGCCGTTCTGTCAAATCACATAATCATCTTCTCCACATCTAAGGGATGGATGAAACTTACGAGATTTTTGACTGTTGACAGAAGCCAGAGGTTATGTCGTGGAAGGCCAAAAAAAAAAATATTATCATACTTTATGTGAAACGGGCCACACTGCTTTCAAAAGACCTTTATTGATCAAAATGTGTGTAAGATCTCAAATGTAACAACTTTGGCTTGAACCTAATATAGAAAGTTTGTCACAACTTTTGCCTGACTGACAGTTTACCTTCTTCACACACTGCCGTTCTGTCAAATCACATAATCATCTTCTCCACATCTAAGGGATGGATGAAACTTACGAGATTTTTGACTGTTGACAGAAGCCAGAGGTTATGTCGTGGAAGGCCAAAAAAAAATATTATCATACTTTATGTGAAACGGGCCACACTGCTTTCAAAAGACCTTTATTGATCAAAATGTGTGTAAGATCTCAAATGTAACAACTTTGGCTTGAGATTTTCACACTTTACAAAGATAAATATTGTAAAATAATACATTTTAAATCATATTCACTGCACGCACAAAGGTCATAGCAGTATGTTTTCATCCTCTATACGATTTTGTGGACATGTGATGTTTGGAAATGTATAAATGAATGATGTAAACATTTTTATATAATTAGTTTCTTTCACATTATTATTATTAATCGCACAAGTATGGTAGAGTTTTAATGAAAAGTTTTTAACAGTCTGAAGCTACAGTAGATGATTTCCAGTATTTGCATTTGATTTGCAGGTCCTGCCTGCCTGCATTCCTTTATATTGAGATACTGCCGTTAGCAAGGCAAAAATACTGGTGTAACTGTGGAGTTCTCTTTTTGCATTATTCTGATATTTACTGCATTACTGATTCAAACATAAAATTTGCAAATACAAACAAATATGACTACAGCATTTCTGCATGGGTGAATGAACATAAACACAGGTCATGCACAACTAATTAAGTTCATTCTTCATTTATAGAAGCCCACACAGACGTAAGCTGAATAAAATGCTTAAAAGAGCTTTTAAAAACATCTTACTCTCAAAACATTACAGACCCTTGAACTTGTGTTCTGCTCATCTAGAACACTGTAAATTCAGATGTACATGTTTCTAAATAGAATATGTTTGGAGAACGTGACTAATTTGATATGTTAATTGAATGATAAAGCTGGAATTCCTCAGGAGCACATGAATCTCCATCCTCACACTAACAATACAAATTATAATAACTTCTAAGGCAAAAATTGAGAAGTGTTTGTCATTGAAATCATATAGAGAATTAATAAATGGTATAATACAGACCAGATTTTTCATGTAAATATACATCAATATTTTACTTTCCTACATCAGTGTAATTGCTACAATGAAGTTCCTCTATATGATTTTGTGGACATGTGATGTTTGGAAATGTATAAATGAATGATGTAAACATTTTTATATAATTAGTTTCTTTCACATTATTATTATTAATCGCACAAGTATGGTAGAGTTTTAATGAAAAGTTTTTAACAGTCTGAAGCTACAGTAGATGATTTCCAGTATTTGCATTTGATTTGCAGGTCCTGCCTGCCTGCATTCCTTTATATTGAGATACTGCCGTTAGCAAGGCAAAAATACTGGTGTAACTGTGGAGTTCTCTTTTTGCATTATTCTGATATTTACTGCATTACTGATTCAAACATAAAATTTGCAAATACAAACAAATATGACTACAGCATTTCTGCATGGGTGAATGAACATAAACACAGGTCATGCACAACTAATTAAGTTCATTCTTCATTTATAGAAGCCCACACAGACGTAAGCTGAATAAAATGCTTAAAAGAGCTTTTAAAAACATCTTACTCTCAAAACATTACAGACCCTTGAACTTGTGTTCTGCTCATCTAGAACACTGTAAATTCAGATGTACATGTTTCTAAATAGAATATGTTTGGAGAACGTGACTAATTTGATATGTTAATTGAATGATAAAGCTGGAATTCCTCAGGAGCACATGAATCTCCATCCTCACACTAACAATACAAATTATAATAACTTCTAAGGCAAAAATTGAGAAGTGTTTGTCATTGAAATCATATAGAGAATTAATAAATGGTATAATACAGACCAGATTTTTCATGTAAATATACATCAATATTTTACTTTCCTACATCAGTGTAATTGCTACAATGAAGTTGTGTCCTTAAAATGCAATTATGTATAACAAGTCTTGATTTGCAGACACACAATCTAAATTGTTAACTGTCATAACACAATACAATATTGTCCTTTCTTTACCTTTTTATTATTCTCTCTGTTTGGTTTAAACCACTATACTTTGTACCATGTAATTGTAAAACATCTGAGCAAAAATGCTTGAATTAGCAAATACGTATAAACTATATGTTCACAAAACAAATAATATATATTATTAAAAAGCATGAAACTTAGAAACTATAACATACATTCACAGGCCATACAGTAACAGTGCTTACAAGGTTTAAAAGCCACTGAAAAAAAAGACATACCCATCTTCTCTAATGAAAAAAATGAATAGATGTAGAAAAACCCTTTTGTTTTAATACCATTCAAAAATGAACAAGTTGTACATTTATACAAATATTTTCTCATCAGGACTATTACAAAAAAATAGTGTTTTTCAAACACTTGATAGCTGTTGTTTACCGTACTGAGAATAGTCTTTTTCTCTCAGCAGACCTTTTGGACAGGTCTACAAACATAGTCATCTTAACACCAGCAGAATCTGAAAACATTTCAAAGAAAATTAGGAACTGCTAGCTACATATTATTGCAAGAATCTAACACCCTGTTGTTGGATAGCAGACACATATATACGGTAGAGCATAAAAATAAACTCCACAAAATCAGCCTCACTCGGGATTCTTTCATTTTCCCGTTTGTTATAGTAGCTACTTATACGCAATATTCTTGTGAAATCCTCCAAATCTCACACTGCATTTCCCTCATTTTGTGTGAAAAGTTTCTTCAAGTGTCACCATTTTTTGAAGCAGAATAACTCTCAACCATTATAATGGGCCACAAGGGAGACCACAGCAGGTTTGGCATTATCTGTTGATAGAGGGCCGTCCTCCGCTGGGTTTGCCTGGTTGGGCAGCACTGTGGGTCCCAATGAAGCAACCACAAAAGTGAAGTTGTCTGTGCGCCGTCCAAGCCGAACAGGTTTAGTTACCTTTGAAGAACTTTTCAGACTGGAACCTCGCTGGGGTTTGTCACAGTTGAAAAGAGCTCTGAAACACCTGTAGAACTGACACAGATAAACCCAGACAAACAAGTAAAAGGCATTAGATCAACAACGCTAAAATATGCAACACATGCAAGTATCAGTTTGCAGGAAATATGCATCTAGTTCTTTACACTTTAATTTACTTTTTGACATGCATTGTACATTGTGAATGGAATTCTGATTAGAAAAGGGCCCTTCTCTTCCATCCCCATTATCTGTCCTGCCATTTGCAAAGAGACTGCTATCCTTTTCACAGTCATCAACAGTGCCATTTCTAAATGGTATCAAATTCCCAGTTAATGACATTTTACTTTTACCTCTAAACAGAACAATTATACAATTAGAAACTGAATAATTGCTGATAATGTACACTTGCTCAATAATTTCCATGGCTGTAATTAAATGTCTGAGAGTAATCTGAAGTAATTGTGCCCTTTCCATTCATAGTAGAGAAAAAAGAGATTGGGGGGGGGGGGGGGGGGG